TTTATATTTAAATTGTAATTTATTAGTATAATTAATTATAACAATTACTGTATTAAATAATAATAAACTTAATGTTTGCTTGTACAATTTGTTTGTCAAATTAAAGTTGAAGTTTCAATTAATTGTTAGATATATGATATTTCTGGTTTGGATATATGCTTTTTATAGTTTATAAATATTTCAAATAAAAATTTTTAAACTAATTTCAAAAAATATGATTTATGTATCACTCCAAAATGTAATCTCAAATTTCATATTTATTCACAAATATTAAATTCAAGTTTCACATTTTATTGAGAAATAAATTTCACTGATATTATAATTATTATCATAAATAAAGTTAATTAATTATTTAAAAATTTATGGTTTAATTTAAATGTTGGCTATATAATTTTAAAATAAAAATTTATTAATTCAGATATTCTAAGATTTTATATAATTTACAATTCTTTTAAACTAAAACTTGTTTTGTGGTTAGATTTGCCATGCAACTTAAAGGTAGACATTTATTTGATAAATATTATATATATATATGATATTATATATGAAATGCTTAATGTGTTGACTTGAGGTGAGAAAACTATTAGTAGTAATTGAATCTATAGCTTCAAATGAAATATTAGGCTAAACGGTAATAATAGGGCGCATCGGATGCAAAAGAAATAAAAATTTATTTTCTAAATAACTTAAAATATGTGGTAATGTAGTGTTATATAATATAAATTATCTTTTTATGTGATTCCAACTCCTAAACCAATAAACTATTGGTAATAATAAAGAAATAAATTAGTAATATAAGTTATTACTAATAACTTAATAAATATTGGTTAACATAAGGTACTGGTTGGTATCATTATTATGTCATGAATTCAATATAAATCAGTTTTACGGCAAAGAATGCAATAAAATGTTTGTTTCTATGGCTCAACACAAACAAAGAATTTTGAGAACAAATTCAAAAATATAATTAATTAAATTTATTTTAAAGCAGAGAATAACATTAAAATTTAAACTGTTTTCTATATCTTATTTTAGTATTAATTTTGTTGTTGTAAAAATTCAAAATTTAGAATGAATTTAAAATAATACAGAATTTAAAAAAATAAAGAATTTAAAAAATATATTATATTGTAAATCAAAGATTATGAATCACATGTTGAATATAAAGAAAAACAATTTTTCTATGAAGGAGTGTTCACTTTTATTACAATAAGTAACTCACCTTTATTACAAGAGATTTATATAAAATATAAAATATTAATTGTGTTGGAAAATTCTTTGGATTAAACCATAATTATGATCTATTTTTTATTTTTCTCCCACTCTTCGTAAATATGATAATATTTGAAATAGAAAATAATGAGCTAAAGAAATAATTCTTACAATTCATATTATTCTGTTGCTATTATTAAACTCTGATTATTAATTCTGGTATCATTATTATGTCATGAATTCAATATAAATCAGTTTTACGGCAAAGAATGCAATAAAATGTTTGTTTCTATGGCTCAACACAAACAAAGAATTTTGAGAACAAATTCAAAAATATAATTAATTGAATTTATTTTAAAGTAGAGAATAACATTAAAATTTAAACTTTTCTATATCTTATTTTAGTATTAATTTTGTTGTTGTGAAATTCAAAATTTAGAATGAATTTAAAATAACACAGAATTTTAAAAAATAAAGAATTTTAAAAATATATTATACTATATTGTAAATCAAAGATTATTAATCACATGTTGAATATAAAGGAAAACAATTTTTCTATGAAGGAGTGTTCACTTTTATTATAATAAGTAACTCACCTTTATTACAAGAGATTTATATCAAATATAAAATATTAATTTTGTTGGAAAATTCTTTGGATTAAACCATAATTATGATCTATTTTTTATTTTTCTCCCACTCTTCGTAAATATGATAATATTTGAAATAGAAAATAATGAGCTAAAGAAATAATTCTTACAATTCATATTATTCTGTTGTTATTATTAAACTCTGATTATTAATTCTATAAAATTGTTGTAAAATATTTTTAAAAAATAATACCTGTATTAGAAATGAGTATTGACTAATTAGTGATCTGTCAATAAAAGATCCAATAATGGCATTGCTTTTGTTTTATTTTTACAAATAAGGCTCAAAACACACCAATTCTTACAAATGGTGTCAAATCTGTCATTTGGTTGGTGACAAGTGTCAGGTCAGCTCATTATTTTAAACATAATCTTCAAATGAAATGAAGTTTTCTCTTAATACGACATTAAGTATTTTGATATACGGTATATACAAAAAAAGTAAAAAGTTGTCTCATATTGAGTTTTGATAACATTACAGTACATTCAATCATTAAAAAAATTATTAATAAAATTTTCAGCTAATTATATAACATCGCAGAGGAGTTACGAGATCAGTCACAAGTTTGATTGTATGATATATTAATACTTTACAATAAAACCCGTGTGAGTGCGGGTTGGGTCGAGTCAGATGAGTTTGATTTGAGCTCTAGTTGTAAGCGTAGGTAAGAATAAATAGATTTCATGTAATGCTTTGTTTCAATTATTAATAAATAATCTCATGTTATCACAAGTATTTATAATTTGTTTTAACAACAATCACATCACTGAGTGTTTTAGAGCTCAATGTAAACCGTTTGATAACTAAAGTCAAGTCAAATCCAAACGTCTGATAAGAATGCAATAAATAGTTTGTTTAATAAGCAATAAAAAACTTTTGGCTAAAAATATCCATGATTGCAAAGAGTGTCTCATTAGAGAGAAGCAAACCATTCATTTAACGTCGATATAACCGCAGGATAATTGAATTCTCCTTAATTAGTAGTAGCCTTTAGTTTTAACTATTATCTGTTTAGTTATATGTTTAATATTTGTTTTGATAGAATTTACTGTATTTGTATTTTATTTATATGTCAGACCAGTTCATACTATAGAAATAATATTTGTTATAACAAGTACAAAACCAACATTTTAGAATTACCGTTTTGTATGAAAAGTAAATTACTCAAGTTAATAAATCTTTCATATACAGTAATAATATAATTTACATTATTGGAATTACTGTAGTAAATGAAAAATATAATTTCCTTAATAAATATTTTATTTTAAACTTTATAGTCTAAAATACAGAATAGAGAATTTTAATTGAAATTATAGACCTAAAATGAAATAATTTTATTAAATGAGATATGAGAGATATTATATTTATACAATTATTATGTTTATTCTGTAAAGAAATTCTGTAATTTCAAATACTTAACTAATTTTGTAGCACATAATACAAACATTAATTAAAATGCTTGTGTCAACAAATTATTGTTAATCAAATTATAACAAATAATATTTATTATTCCCCTATTAAATTATAATTTTGCTTAGCATAACAGTATGAGATTATTGATCAAATAGTTATTCTTACGTAAAACTCTATTAACATTTAAAACTTAAAGCTTAAAATCTTGGATTTGTAAACATTAAATAAGGCAAATGCAATGTATTTGGATTGAAAATCTCGATTTTGTGTAAATTCAAACGATTAGAACTTTTTAATTAGGAATTAAGCAATAATTTGCTCCCATTTTGATCATAAAACTCAGACATAAAACTTTATAGTTGACTAAAACCAACATATAATGAATTTGTTTTAAAATATCAAGCATTCCTTTCAAGCATTTACGGTATTGTTAATGATTTTAATGAATTAAAATAAGTTGAATGTATTGACAGACAGTTTTTGCAGTAGAGTTAGACAAGAATTAATGTCATCAAACTTATGCAAATGTTCTTGTTTATAAAACTCGTTTAATTAGCCCAATATTATTAACTCTAATACTAGTGCTTACAAGTACTAGAATCCTAATTATTAGTGAATACGAAAAAATCTCAAAAATAACAAATTTGATAAATTTTATTTGAAAAATTAATGAGATTTTAATCGATACTATTCAACAAAACACTTGTTTAATACTGTATTATACTCTCTCGTGGATTAAAATTATTTATTTAATAAAACCGACAATTTGACTGCAAATCTCGCGAATTAACACGAATTCTGAATTTTCATAATTGTTTGGATGCTTTCATACATTATTTTAAGCCTTTTTTAATTGAAATTTTATCTAAAACTCTCAGACAAGCCGTTGTGAGTAATGGTAGTATAGGCTTTGAATTGGTTGTAGCCATCAAAACAAATGGCATTTAGGGGTGCATTAGTGCGAACTCATAGACCATATATTAGCACAATTGAAAATGTTGGCAACAACGATCGACAAATTGACTCAATTATCGCTACAAATGATGGACAACAAGACAAAGACAATGATCACAAACATAACGGAAACTCTGTATTTGCCAGAATTGTGAACAAACTTTTCAAAAAGAAGTCCAAACGAAATGATAACACAAATAAAGATCAGAAAGAAGTCAAACAAAGTTGAAGAAAGAAATTCTAAAATCAATAAAAAGTAAATAAATGAACATTCAGTTTGACAATCAGTTTTGATGTTGCCATTTCAATTTAAATAAAACAAAATTGTAATATGTTAATGACAGATTAAAATAAATAAAGTTTGAATTAAACTAAAAAATGTGTAGTATAAGAAAGTTATTTATTTAAAAAATTAAAAGTGATAAAAGTATTAAAACAAAGAATGAATTTTTGACTCAATTTACATTTAATATTTAAGTATGGTGTTAAGGGATATCTATAAAATATTTATTAATAGTATTTATTAATAGTATTTATTAATAGTATTTATTATAAGTAAGTAGTAAAGTAAAGTATAATACGTTAGACAATTTTGAGTCAATCACCATTTGATAATTAAATGGAAAGTAACTGTAATTGTGAGTCTCACAAATTATTGAGACTTTGTTTGAGACAGTATCTCATGTCTTAACTCTCATTTTTATGCTTTATATTTATATTTTTATGAGTTTAAAAAAGTGATTTAAATAAAATTTTTAATTTATTCATGTTATCGACGAGTCAATAGACTATTTGACAATTATTTTAATAAAATCAATATACGATATAACAATTTAAGAATGAGTATAAAGTTTAGAGGTAAAAACAAAGGGCTATATTGTATAATACTGTACGATAAGTTACAGCATTATCTAAACTTTTATGCAAAAGATATGCAAAATATTAATTATAAAATGTATTGAATTGAAGGGCTGGTGGACGAACATCTGGTACGTAAGGATGAGAACGGCTATAGTTTGGATCATATGTTAGTCTCAGACACGAGTCGTTCATTAATTGAAGAACTCGATCGAGAAGTGGAGCTCAAGAACCGGATTAGGAAAGCGAAACAATTACACAAGTATTA